CGTTTGTACCACTTTCGATTTCGTTTGTACCTCAACCGGTTCCAAAATACAGCGATTTTTTGATTTTTCAGAATACCGCTGAAAGTGTGTATCTCCGTTATTAATAGAGATATCGCAAAACGGTCGATGCAATTCGATAAAGAATCATTTGTGCCCGTTTGTACCACTTTTGTTTTCGTTTGTATCTCAACCGATTCCAAAATAAAGCGATTTTTTGATACTTCAGAATATCGCTGAAAGTGTGTATCTCCGTTATTAATAGAGATATCGCAAAACGGTCGATGGAATTCGATAGAGAATCGTTTGTACCTCGTTATTCTACGATAGTAGAATAAAAAAGGAATAATATCCAGATAAACAGACTTGTTTGCAAAGAAGCATTAAAAATACGACCTATCATAGCACATCTAAGAATTAACCTTAATAACGTTTCACAGTGAAGATTATCGACGGAGGTGATATAATGACGAATGTGACAAAAAGTGAAAAGCAAAGCGAAAATACCTGGTAGTATGTTGTCTTGTGTTCAAACACGCGTTTGTGTGGATAAGTCTAATCGATATAAATCATCAAAATATTAAACGGTGCATACCAGGCCACACCGGCTAGAGTTGAGAACGATTACGACTCAAACGTCAATTTAGTCTTATGTACTTGAAAAGTACGTTTCCCCTAGTATTAAAAACAAAGCTGTATTTTGGAAACTAAACTCACTCTCGAACCACATCGACCATTTTACGATATCTGTATTAATAACGGAGATACACATTTTCAGCGATATTCTGAAGAATCAAAAAATCACTGTATTTTGGAACCGGTTGAGGTACAAACGAAATCGAAAGTGGTACAAACGAAATCGAAAGTGGTACAAACGGATACAAACGATTCTCTATCGAATTCCATCAATCGTTTTGCGATATCTCTATTAATAACGGAGATACACACTTTCAGCGATATTCTGAAGAATCAAAAAATTGCTGTATTTTGGAATCGGTTGAGGTACAAACTAACACAAAAGTGGTACAAACGGGTACAAACGATTCTCTATCGAATTCCATCGACCGTTTTGCGATATCTCTATTAATAACGGAGATACACACTTTCAGCGGTATTTATTCTGAAAAGTCAAAAAATCGCTGTATTTTGGAACCGGTTGAGGTACTAACGAAATCGAAAGTGGTACAAACGATTCTCTATCGAATTCCATAGACCGTTTTGTGATATCTTTATTAATAACGGAGATACGCACTTTCAGCGGCATTCTGAAAAATCAAAAAATCGCTGTATTTTGGAACCGGTTGAGGTACAAATGAAATCGAAGGTGGTACAAACGGGTACAAACGATTTTCTACCGAATGGTATTAATAAAATTAGAATATCAAAAAGTGGAGTTCCAGCAATTTTTCAAAATTTTTTTATCTCGTTAGGTCCTGAGGTACAAACGAAATTAAAGGTGGTACAAACGAGTACAAGCGATTCTCTATTGAATGGTACTAATAAAACCAAAATATCGTAAACTCGGGTTCCAGGTTCACAGAGCTGCAAAATTTGTATAAACTCTCACTTCTTTCAGGTGTGGTTCCTTTTACTTGCAGAGGAAGAAATTTGGAATGCTTTTGATTCAAACTTAAGAATAACATTTTTATATTTCTTCGATGGTCGATATTTGAATTTGTACCAATCCACATCTAAACGATCATTCATAATTCAACTACTTACTAGCTAAACCTAAGGAGGGCAGCACTAAGGAAAAATGTAGGTTAATAGGAAGTATTGAAATCAAATTGTTTTGAAGTGGATACGGTTGACCTCACTTCGAGATTTGGGAAATATAGGTGAATATTATATGGGGGATACTTTCCAAAACCAAATTAATACAATTCAGGAAACTGATTAAGCAACTCGTAACTTGTTAAGTTTCCTAAAGCAGCGTTTCCCAAACTAGTCTAGTAAGTACAGTAGTCTTGTTGTCTTCTTCTTTCTCATAGTTTAGAACATGGTCCCGTTTTTATGTACAGTAGTGAAAATTAAAAAGTAATAGAAGTAATAGAAAGAAGATTAAGAAAAACAAATTGAACAATCAGGGACAGATAACCCGGAAAAATAAATGCACTACAGACACAACTACAGTGAGATGGGGTATGACAATATATACCATCATATTTTTCCAAATATTTCAGTATATGTTACTGCTAGCGTTATATATTTTTTTAATAGCGGCAGAAAAGTAAGTTGTGTAGGTATACAACTGGGGTATGCTGTATCCCACCACCCTTAATTTGTAAGTATGCACCATAAGTGCCACTATAAGTATCTGTGTGCCTTCTAATGTTGATATGGTTGCTAATGTTAGTGAACGTCTGATAAAGAAACGATTGATCGGTATGAACAACGACCATTAAGTGGAAATTGGTAACCAACTGGTTTATGTTAGCAAAGGATAGAACAATTTGGTTCACGAACTCATTAACCAGGAGTGAAAGGTGAAGCAAAAATTAAAACATTCAATCTTATGCTGGTCATAGTTTCTTACGGATGGTATCTTAGAAGACTTGGTATTCAATACAAATATCAAAATAAGCAGTCAGTGTAAAATATGAGAAAAATAAATATCTAGAAAATGAACATACGTGGTTGAAATGGCACTTTGTGATTTGTTGGATATAGAGAAAATATTATCGTTATTAAAGTAAATGAGCATTAACCCAGCGTTACTGAATGCCATCTAGAAAATTGCAAAGATCTCTGCAAAAGGTTGCAATATTGGAAAGACTATATATATTAAGGCAAAACCAATCTTTTGGCAGATAAATTATCAAAGTTATGGATAAAATAACAACTACCTGAGGATTACTTTATTAATAACAACATTGAATATGATGGATTTTATAAGTTAAAAATTTTTAGTGGCTAAGAATTGTGATGCGATAAACATTTTTAATGTAGTAGGTTGGTCTATATAAAGATTATAGTAAATCAAGAGAGCATAAATCCAAAGATATTGAAATTGAGAACGTTCTTACGTTTTGGAAACTGTCGAGTTAGTTTGGAAGAATCATATGGAGTAAATTATAAACTTTTGCTAATTATCTAACTTCTATAATTGATCACATGGTCAAAGTAACAGACAATGTTCACAAGATTTGAGATTTATTGACATTGGAGATTTTGCTTACATATGACATTCTATTGATTTCGTCTATGTGCGAATAACATCTAAATGCGTTTTTTTTACCACAGAATGAGTTTGGTCCTAAAGCGGGTCGAGAAATTATGTTGAAAAGTTTGTATTTTAGGATATCTTTTAATGGGTTTCTTGCCTTTTAAACAAACGAAAGCGAAAACTGAGTTCTCTAAATCGTTATGAACGAAAGGTTTTACGAGGGAATGATGACGCATTGCGGCTGGGTTTAAATTTGTAATACTTTGCGTAAGTTAATCTGGAGAAGGTTGACCGTAAAGTAATTTTGCGGGTGAATAACCTAAATCTTCTTGTATGGTTAATCTAAGGCCGAGATGGATGATGGGATGTTCATTTTTCCAATTAATTGCGTTCCCTCTGACTATCAAAGCGGTTTTAAGCAGGTTCTTTAGAACAATTCAAGAACACTATTGAAACTATTACTATTGAAGAACACTAAGTCTTTGCGGATAGTGTATTGAAGTATATAAAAAAAGTTGAAATTCGAGTTGTCGTCCATAATGATGGATAAGATGATTATTGAGAATAGGTACTACAAAAGATGCTGTCCATCAAGTAAACCTTTCAAATATCACGAATTTAATTTTACTAAATTAAAAATTTGTTTTAAAATCACATTTATTAAATAATTATTTCGAATTTGTATCAAACTTATGAACATAACGTAGAAATATTCAATGTACTATATGCAGCATAGTTCTAAATCATGTTTTAATTTGAAAAGCAGCGGACCGGAATATACAAAGCATCATATTATATGCTCAGTGCGGTGTTGCTAACCGGACGTTAATTACTGAATATGCACGGTAATTTATACCAAAATACGGTATACTTCTAACACACAAATCTGAGGTAAAGTTACGTATATTTGTGGTTAAACACAACATGTATTTCAACACTAGGAAATTGCTAAATACATAGTTGGTTGTGAAAAGAAGTCTTTAGGAATATAATTTCAATATATTGGTGGACAAGGCTACTAATATCTTAGTTAGTAAAATGCCTGTATGCTGGTCAGATGTTTTATTGTTCACAAACAGAAAGTTATCATCTTGGTCTTAGGTTTCTTTATAATTTGGTGTAATCGAGATTTAGAGTCTTGTAATCATAAAATGTGGCTGTACGAATTTAGCTGCAGAAATTCTTACTTAGTATGCCATGCTATGCAGCGACAGAAAAGAGAAAAAGGCCAGGTTGAAAAGAAATACCGGAAAGGAGAGAACAGCTTAACCATAGATGTGTCCATTTTATAATGAGACTTCTTTAGATCTAGTATCAAACGGTTGCATGAATTTTGGATCTATTGAATTTTACTTTCATCAGTACGATAATAGAGTTTGATAAACAGAATCATAAATTCTTCCGAGTACTTATAACATTTAAATTTTTGTAGCAAGACTGTATACCTCTTGTAAAATTATTAACATGATCGGTAAACGATTGCTCTCTTGCTTTCTAATAAACTCAGTGGTGCTAAACAATCTTATCAAATCCGTGATATGTAAGAAATCTTCAACGAAGAATTGTTTTTATTTTGTTGACCTAAATGTCTGAAATTCTGTTTAGAGGGGTCCACACTGAACTAAAATCGGTTCTTAGGGACGAACATAATATAGTTGTATACCATCAGCATACTGACTACCAGTGTTTCACAAAATTATAATGTGTTGTTATAATATCCAGATAGATGTTGATCACTAATATTATTAGCAATTATGTGATTAAAACTATATGATTTATTATATCAAAAACCGTGGAGAATTCGATCAGGGTAAGTAAAGTTACAAGCGATTTCAAAACCGTGCAATGAATACAAATTACTTTCGACCACACGGTTCAAGTCATAGGGTAATGTAGTAATTTTTTTTTAGAATCTACTTTAGTCCATTAACACTAGTTTAGTGTGAATTAGATACTGAATGTGAGCAGAAGCGATATTGGTTTATGTGGTATTCAGTAATTAAAGTGAATTTATAAATAAACGACCATCAGACTGTAGGTTGTAGAAAAGTAAAAGTAGCTGGAATTTCACTCATTTGTTCAACTATACAAGAAGTATATGGTGTTCTACAAAAATAACGCCCAATTACTACAGAGTAAAAGGTTAACAAGGCAAACTCACAAAAAACAAGCGAAAAAGTTTATCATTGGGACGTAGTAGTTTTGTCAGATAACTTAGAAAAACACTTATTTAAACTTAGAAAGTCCACTAGGTGATTTCAGGTGAATTTTAAATAGTTAATTATTTCTGAGAGCAATAAATATAGTCAAGAAGGAAATTGGCAGAATTGTACCGTAAATTCTAAAATAAAAAGTTTTATTACACTATGTTACTTCTTAACTGTTACTTCTCACTTTTTAGTAGACAGAACCAAGTTTCAAGAAGATGAAAGTACTGGGAATGAGAACTAGATAATTTTAATCATATAGTTGTTAATAATATTAGTCATCAACATCTATCTGGCAAACTATATCACATTGGATTCAAATACTTACATTGCCGAAGTGAGGCCGATCTCGTTTTCAATATTTTTTTAAGTGTACCTATACGTGTTAGTTATATGAAAAATTTTTTGCAAAATTTCTAGGTTAGGTATTTTCCGTGATTAAGTTTAAGAATCTGTGTATAATCCATTTTTAAGAATTTAATCATAAAAATTTCATAAATTAGCAATAAAAGTAACGGAACAAACCTGTTTGAAAATTTACTTTATGTTTTTGAGAAATAAATATTAATCTTATTAACTCTTTACTTTAGTAAACGAGGAACACAGTTTGGGAGACGCTGCTCTACGGTAATTACTTCATACTACTTCAGAGATACTCGATCAGTTATCTGAAAAGCAACAAATAATAACAAGAATTGAAAATCTAACGCCATTTTAAACTTTTAGATGAGAACCATATCTAAACATACCGAAAACTCTGTTTTTTACCTTGTAGTCAGACGTCAGTCTCGATGCTCATGGCGTTGATGTTATTGTTGTGTCGCGGGTTACAGTTCTGTTTACGGGCCAGCTGGTCCCGCGTCACCAACAGACCCTCCTCCAGTTCCACGAAGTCGGACGACGACTCGCTAAGCGAGTTCTTCTTCATGTGCTGTCCAAGAGTTCCGGGCAGGTATGGGCAGCTGGTCACGTGGTTGAAATTTTGCGACTGCATCTCCTCCTGGTCAGTCTCACGGTGATAGAAATAGTTGAAGTTGGAAACGATGACCGGCACCGGAAGTGCGATCGTCAGTACGCCAGCAATCGCGCACAACGAACCGACGATCTTCCCCCAGACTCCCACAGGCCTGAAGGAGGCAATACGGAAAACGAGAAAGAAAGAATTAGAATCGGAATACGAACGCCGATTTTATTGTTAGTTATAGTGATGATGAAAAGGGGGATTGTTGTTAGGGATTCTTTTGGAGCTTAGTTATTATATTATCTTAATTTGTTGTATAAAATGCATGCCAGTGTGCTAAGTTAAAAAAGCGATGCAATCGAAGCAGCTAGGAAGCAAACTCAATGATGGCGATAGTGAAGGTGTGGTGGCGGTGCAGCAAAGATATAACAAAACAGAAAGAGAAAAAGAAGTAGAGAGTTTGGAGTTGAATGGAAGAGTGGAGGAATCGATGGAACGTTGGATTCAAGGTGATGCATGCGAGGGTTCGAGCTGTGTAAACGGCATTCCATTAGAAAATTCTTTGTTCCTCAGATCGACAGTAAACAAGCAACATCGAGCACACAGCGGCACGACATTTAAGGTGACAATAGTAATATGGTCATAAGAATATAATAATATATATAATCTAAAACAATAATAATGGTAATAATAGAGGAGTAGTCATGATGACGGTAATCGGAATATCACACAGATTGGTGCAATTACCGCATCAAAAGTGCCAGTTTACTGTTCTTCTAAACCAATGATTTTTGAAATTTAGATAATTTTAAGAAATAAAAGTTTTACTAAATTTTGTGAGTATGTGTACATGATGTTGTAGTGTTGTGTAAAATTTGCTGTACATTGTCTTTATATTATTCTCGTTTAATAACCTGTCAACTTTAAGGACTGGTTGTAATCCCCATTCTTTAATGTAGTTTGTAATTAGCATTTTCTAGGTAATTTAGGCAACTTTAAAACTTGTAATTAAAAATTTGATTAAACTTGTCGTAGTTTTTTGCAGTTAATTTTTATGATTGATTGACGATGCGGTAGTTGAACCGATCGGCGTAAAAACGGAATAGAATGAAATAGTAGTAATAATAATAAGTAGTCAATGTATGTAATAGTAAAATAGTGGTCATAGTAGAGGTTTGGTAAAACAGTAATTGGAGTGGTAATCGGTAGTAGTAGTAGTAGTCCCCGGAGCAAAGAATTTTCTGGTGGTCGCCTTGCTATAAGTGTACGCTACGGTGGTGGCAACTAAATCTGAATTAGGTGTGTACATCATACGTCATGTCGCCGTAGCCCACGGTGGTCATCGTGACCACTGCCCACCAGAACGCGTCTGGAATCGACTTGAAGAAGGAGTTCTCGGAGCCCGCCTCGGCGAAGTAGACGGCGCTCGAGAACAGCACGACACCTGCAAGAGGAGGAGGAACACGGGGTGAGTAGTGTCCGGCCCTCGGCCACTGTACCTCATGTCGCCGTAGCCAACGGTCGTCATCGTTACGACGGCCCACCAAAACGCGTCCGGGATCGACTTGAAGAAGGACTGCTCGCTCCCTGCTTCCGCGAAGTACACCGTACTGGAGAAGAGGACCACCCCTGGAACACACACGACTTGCGGCTGAGAACCCTAACCCGTGGGGCGCGATACTCGTCGGGGGGACTGTTGCGCTACTCGTCGTCAGTGGTTGCTTCGCGAAGACGAAATCTCGTACTGCTTTTTTAACACGATTTCACCTTATGTATCAATTCCTTATGTTTCATGACTTTCCCTTAATTTACACATCTCTCAATAATTAGAAAAGTCATGGAAACATGAGAAGTGTTGATGAAAAAAGCGAAATCGTTTCGCGTCTGTTATATAACGATGTGCAAAGAAATTGTTCGTTAAAGTTTCAGTTGGAATGACTTACCGATAAAGAGGAAGAATATGAGCAGTCCAAGTTCTCGCATGCTCGCTTTAAGCGTACGTCCGAGGATTTGCAGTCCCTTGCTGTGCCGGCTGAGTTTGAATATTCGGAAGACGCGCACGAGCCTGATGACTCTGAGTATGGCGAGCGACATCGCCTGGTTGGTGCTCTTGTCTTGGGGTGAGACGGGCGCCCGCGGTAGGTTGAGCGTGTCCTCCTCCTCGGCAACGACGGTGGCCAGCGTGATGAAATACGGAATGATGGCGATGATGTCGATAATGTTCATGACGTCCCGGAAGAAGTTGAGCTTGTTTGGGCACGCCAGGAAGCGCACGGACAATTCGAACGTGAACCAAATGATGCAGATGGTCTCGATGAGGAAAAACGGATCCGTTATGTCCGGCACCTCGTCCTCCTCGATTTTGGTGCCGTTGGTCGTGGTGTTGAACACCTTGAAATAACATTATTATATTATTATTTATTAATTTATTAAGGAAAGTTAAGTGGGTGATAATGTGATTTTAAGTATCGATATAACATTACTAGATTAGATGGAATCAGTAGTGGCATAAGGGAGAAACCTGTTGATGGAGTCATTACCGCAGAGATTTTAGATGTAGATTACAAATTGTTATGGGCGATTTGGGGTTGTATGTAAGTCCTTAATCTTGATTTAGAAATTTCATTGATTGTGGCGTAATGAATTAGGTTTATTGTACCTTGTAGTGCTTGAATTCGGGCAGCGTCTCAAGGCAGAATATGACGATAGAGAGGAGAATGACGAAGACGGAGATGATGGCGACTACGCGCGCCGCCTGCGACGACTCCGGATACTCGAAGAGCAGCCAGACGTTTCTTTGGAACTCGTGCGAGGGCAGCGGCTTCTCCTCCTCCTTGATGAAGCCCTCGTCCTCGCGGAACTTGTTGATCGCCATCTCGCCCAGTTCGTAGAACTTGATCTCCTCGGAGAAGACATCGAGGGGCACGTTGACGGGTCGTCGGAGGCGTCCGCCGCTCTGGTAGTAATAGAGGATGGCGTCGAAGGAGGGCCGGTTGCGATCGAAGAAGTACTCGTTGCGCAGCGGGTCGAAGTAGCGTATCCTGCGGTTCGGGTCGCCGAGCAGCGTGTCCGGGAACTGGTTGAGCGTCCGCAGCTGCGTCTCGAACCGTAGGCCGCTCACATTTATCACGACCCTCTCGCAAAAGTCATGGTCGTGAGGGATGGGCTCGAAGTGGGCCACACCAGTGAACTGGGAGTGGGGGGTGTGCCCGTCCTCGTCCTGGCTGCTGAGCTTGGGCAGCGACCTAACAAAAAATCAAATACTTATAATCCAACAATACCAAAAAAAAATTTCAAAAATTGTCGCTTGAAAACCCCACTATTATGATTCAAAGGTCTTCCTTTAACCTTTAACGTTTATGGTCATATCGTTTGAATCTGAGAGCTTGTGGAACTGTATATTGCTCGATGAGGGTCAAGTGGCCGCAGATACTGCTGCTTTGAAACGTGCTAATGGAAGTTTGTGAGTAAACCTTCCTTTACGTACTTTTTTTACTTTGTAATGGATAGAGTGGTTTTGGTTTCGCTCAAAGAACCATACTAAAATTTCTACATGTAAAAGTTAAAAATAAATATTAATTCATACCGTTCTTTAACTTTACCAGGACATAACATAAGTTCTAAACAACTAATTGTTGACATATTTACGCAAAATAACACGAACCTTCTTACCAAAGAACTACCAAACAAATGGCGTTTTTGAAATACAGCGATGTTATTAATGAGGATGCTTTCATTTAAACAATTTATACAGTTATGTTGTTCTATAAATGAATATTATGTTTGTTAATAATTGGACTTGGTTAGTGTGATAACACACATTCTTTTAAAACACTAATTTAACTCGAATATCGACTGAGGATATAAGTTAACGGTTATTAACTTTAAACGAATAATTGTTACCTATTTCAGCTTCAATTCTATCTAATACATAAACCAACAATTTATCTCTTATAAGAATTGAGTAATTATTATTTAATCAACTATTAAGACATGACTAAAAAATTAGTACAATAAGAACTACATATATCAGTGTTAATAAAAAAGAATAAAGTTGGACACGTTTAACTAAAGGTGAAAACCACAAAAACCTAAAACTACCCTTGAACGAGGAAAAGTTCAAAAGTTGCGATAACCTACTTCTACTACGAGTTGTTTACCTTCTCTTTGAAAACTGTCTGAGAACAGGTGCACTGGACACATCATCAGAGGCTATTCTAACCATTTATCAAAAAAGAAAAAAACACAAAACGGTATTATTACGAAGTGAAGCGGTCAATTTCGTGCTGTTACACGACCCTACATCGAAAAAGTGTCTGTCTCCATCACCGGCAATTTAGCGCTGACTTTGCATAAAACTGAGTGCACACTTCCAGCAAAGCCCATTGTCCTCGCCGATTTTTCCTTCCTTTTCTCGTCTTACCGCTCTATCCCGCGGCAATTTGAATCCTAACCAATCATGACTCCTTCACTACAATTGATCAGCAAGATTCATGTTTTAAATCAATTATTTTTTGTAATAATATTTTAAGTACACTAATAATTAATTGACAGGGTAAAAACGAATTGAATTTTAACTAACGTATGACTAACTTCGGACAAGAATAAGTTAAAAATGAAATGGTCTATATTAAATAGTAATGCGACGCGGTCAGCTTCTATAATCGGATGAGTATTATGGGTTACAAACCGTGCGGCGTTTCAAACACGTTCCCTTAATCTTATTATCTAATTTAGAACGGATTGCTACAGTTAGGATTCAAATATGAGTTATGATAGGTATCATAACATCGAATATGGGATATGTTATATACACAAAATTATTATATTATGTATTTATACACAAAGTGGTGAGCGTTGTATTTAAAAATAGATTCCATTTGAATATTGATAATTAAAGAACTTGGCCATCAAAGTTGTTTATGTTTTATTGTACACTAAATATCGCATTGGGATTATTTAATAAGTTTAAGATTATGAATATCTTACTATCATGAATAATAGAAATGTGTTAATCGCTAAATTTCGTATTTACTTTTTATATTTCTTTTAGCGGTCGTTTTACTATTTTTATTAAAATATCTTCTTCTTCAGGTGCACACTCCGTTCCGAAGGTTGGCAGTCATTAAGACGATTTTCACTTTTGACACCGCAGATCTAAACAGCTGGTTATTATTACAGCCATACCATTCCCTCAGGTTCTTTAACCATGAGTTCTTCTCCCTATGGATCTCATTCCTCTGATTTTTCCTTGCATAATAACTTGGAGTATTTGGTACTTTTCTCCTCTCATTGCGTCCTAAATATAACAGTTTTCTCTGTTTAATTGTCTCAATTACCCCCTTCTTCTTTTTCATCCGTCTCATCACTTCTCCGTTGGTTATCTTCTCCTTCCATGAGATTCTTAGTATCCTCCGATACATCCACATCTCAAATGCCTCTAGTCTCTTTACATCGATCAAAACGTAACACCTCCACAATCGTATCTTCAAGTTAAGGTTTAAATCCCGGCAACGTGAAAGCCTCTTCATTTCTACCAATGTACTCCTTGCCTGCTCGATTCTAATTCGTATTTCTTGAGATTTGTTGTTGTCTTCATTCACAGTTGTGCCCAGATACTTATATTCTCTAACCCTTTCAATAGGCTGGCCCTTTACATATATTTTACGGTTATCTTGAGTTGTTTTTGTTATTAGTGTATATTTTGCTTATATTCAATGATAATCGGTATTCTTCACTCACAGTGACAATTTTATTAATTATCATCTGTAGGTCTTCGGCCGTTCCTGTTATAAGAGCCACATCGTCGGGATACCTTAGATTATTCATTGCCGTTACGTTAATATTAATGCCAATGTTCTGATCACTAAGTGCTTTATGTACTATGTCTTGCGAGTACAGATTAAAAAGGATTGGTGACAGTATGTATTCTTAACGTACCTCTCTCATTATTTTTACTTCTTCAGATGTCATGTCTTTTACTCGTACTATTGCTTTTTGGCCGTAATAAAGACCTGAGATTATTCTTATATCTCTAAGGTCTATTTTCTTCTTTAGTAATGGTTTTATGAGTTGATCATGTCTAACTTTATCAAAGGCTTTGTTATAGTCTATAAAAGTATGCATATAGGTCCTGGTTCATGTCTAGGCATCGTGGTACCATAACATTATATGCAAACAGTGCTTCCGTTGTTGCTAGGCCTTCACTCTTCTTTTTTGGAAGTGCTATAAAAAATTGAAAAGTTGTGAAATTAAAATATCAGTGCTACTTAAAAATACGAGAACTTTAAATAGAGCCCACTTCATTTATTTTCTATCTTATCTCTTTTTCAAGATAAATTTTAACAATTAATTTTGTGAAAAAGTAGGATTTAGAAAGACTAAATGTGAAAGATAAAGAAAAGATTATTTCTATTGATTCAGCTTTTTTTTTCTGCTAAATTTTTATAACCCGTTGAAACTGATGTCCAAGCTTTATAATGGAAAGATAAATTAGGTTGGCCAGTTGGCAATCGGAACGGCAGGGCTGATTTATAAATACCCATTGATTTAAGGCAGATAAGTAAATTAACCCTGGACAGTAACTAATTGCGGTCGATTTGTTAACGGTGATGTTGAAATAAAAATAGAATCCGCAGAAACTTTTCTCTGGAGTAAAGTCTCTAATTGATTAAATGTGTGAAATTGTAAACAAATCTTTCATGTATAGTTTGAGAAATGTATTTGCCCTTGATACGCAACGTTAACTATATAATAACGTTTGATTAGTGCTGTTAGAATTGGAGTGTAATTTTCAATAGTTGAATACGAATTATACACACGTGTTTACTTTGTATTTGAAATATTATTAATAATTTTGATTTGTATATGTATAATTTTTTAAATCTAATCTATTACCTTTAAACCCCACAAAAAAATATTAATTGTATGATTTGCTATTTTTAAGACAAATAACGAATTTAGTTATCAACTCAAAATAAAAATAAGATTTTTAGTGCATTATTTATTCATACCTTGATGATTTTGCATTATTTCTGATGATTTCTGGTGCAATTCTGAGGCAATTCTAATTCTAGTAAAGAAAACGAAAGTGCAGCCAACCTTAGTGCTTATCGAGTTAAGTTTGAAAAAAATATTGATCAAAATCAAAAAAAAAATTGCAAATCACTGATGTGGAAAAGAACGTTGTCTAAATCAATGAAACTGATTCCAAAGAAACCACTTTGTCAACCTAGCGGCAGCAATTCTGGCCGAGATGAAATAATCAATGATGAATTATTAAGACATCAAAATAAATAAATAATACGTTATCTGAGGCTTTGATACAATCAAGTAGCGCATTAAAAATGTTTATACCAAAGTGATTTTGATTTTGTCTCAAAGTTATGACGTGTGTTAAACTTATGCGCATCGCAGTGTCGCTTGCAATTATTAAGATTGCTTTAGTTTAGACATATACTAATCGTTGCAATATTTAATACAAAAAAGTTAAAATTTTTACTTGAACAAATGCACCTCTGAAACATTCGCTATATTCAACTCCACAATTACGTTGAGTAGCAAAAACTGTAGAAGCAGGTGATAAATGATTCCAGCACATAACACTATATGACAAGCAAGAGTGAAAATAGCAGCTAGTTTTCATTAACGTTTCCAGTGAAACAATGCGCAGTAAGTTTTTAATAACAAATATGCCTGTATGTGCCTAACTTGTACTTGCCACGATAAAATGTAGGGTGGACCATAAAAAGCACAGATAAGTAGTCTCGTGACAATGTGTTGATGTCAAAACTTTGCATGAATCAATAACTGTGAACAACACAGTAACACGATACTAATCAAACGGTTTTTTCTGGTTGATTTAAGTATATACAGAAAAAATGTGTTATATGTTGCGAAACGAAACAATATTGTTGGAAGTAAATTCTTAATACATGTGACACACATGGAAATCAATTTTATACCATGAAATTTTCAGAGAGAAGTGAAAACCTTGAAGTTTGTTGGTATCAATTTTTCCACAGAATGCAAGTACAACACATTGAATGACCTCCTTCACAATTTATGGTGAATCAAGTCCAAATTATTGATAGATGTGAAGTGCACATTCTTGTAAAGTGCCTCATGATTACCGAGAGGAATAAAGGTACATAACTTTTTTTTTTCGAATGTTCTTAACTTCGCGATTTAAATAAATTAAAGCTTGGTACGTCCAAATAAATTATAAGGTTATTTTTACTTTGAA